TAGGTAGATGTGAAAGATGGTAAAACAGAGCAAAGTGCATATTTATTAAGTGTAGGAGAATTTCTTTGGTAAGTGCAGGCAGTGAACCAGCAGCATGTGATTCACCTGGAGCTTGCTAGGCTGTGGAGCCATTGAATCTTATTCCCACTGAACCAGCATTTTAACAAGATCCCCACGTGACAAGTTTGTACTTCGAAGTTTTAATTTTATTTATTTTTTGGTCTTTTTTGAGACAGAGTCTCCCTGTAGCCCCAGCTGGCCTGGATTCGCTATGGAGACCAGGCTGGCCTCAAACTCACAGAGGTACCCCTACCTCTTCCTTCCCAGAGCTGGGATTAAAGGCTTGCGCCATCCCCACCCCTCAGCTTTTTATTTTTTTGAGACAAGATCTCTCACTGACCTGGAATTTTCAAGTCTGCCAGGCTGACCCCAAGGCTCTGCATGGTTCTGTCTTTTCACCTGGAATTATAAGCAAATGCCAAGTCACTAAGACTCACATTTCCTTTTTAGAAATGTGGCAGATACCTTGCATTCTTTAAACCCTCCTCATTATTATGGGTTATGCTAAAACATTGACATTGGCATTACAAAGTTCAAGCAATAATCCTTAATGTACTATGAACATTTTATACTTCATTCATGCAATAGCCATTTATTAAGCATCCATTAAATGTTTATCCTGGAGTTTTTGCTGTAAATATAAACACAAGTTTCATTCCTTCCTGCAGCTTATGCTATAGTGGAGGGAGTAGGGTCACATGCCCTACACAAGTTAACAAGTGAATGAATGAGGTAGGTTTCAGGTAGTAAGTGCAACCAGCACAGCAGGATGTGGTAGAGTGTGTCAGAGGTGGAGGGGCTGTTTCAGAAGGAGAAACGTTCCTTGAGGAACAGGACATAAACATGGGACAAAGCCATCCTCAAACATGATTGCAATGTTCACTTCCTGCCCAGATTTGAGCTTCTCTTACAGGAATGAAGACGTAATTTTTATTTAAATCAAGTATCAACAAAACCCCTATATTGGCTAAGAATAACACATTCAGAATATGAAAGCTGAAATTGTCTGCAATATTAAATTCATTTTGAAACTGAAGCATCTCTCAGTGTGTGCTGCTTTAGAACGAAGCAATTTCAGCCTCATTTGCTTCGTCCCTCTGCTAGTCACTTCAGGAAATGGAAGAGCTGAGTGCTCTCATCTGACAGAGCACAGTAACTGGCAAGAGTTCTGTTTTTCAATTGAATCCATTCTAATTGTTGATTAAAAAGAATTGCTTCATGCTTATGAACTGTGAGCTTATAAAGTCACATGTATGCAGGAAAAGAAAGCTAACATCTGCTAGGGGCAAAGCAGATAAATTAGGTGTTCCAGTGGCTACAACACATTTATTGTTTATGATTGAAGCATGAGTTTTAGTAGTGTAGTGACGTGAACTGACAGCATATTTAGGGTTTCAGATTTGATCTCTGACATTAAAAAAAAAATCCCCCCACTCCTCAAGCTTATAAGAAATTAAAAAAAAAACGAAATTTGATTTTCAGCATAATTATGTCCCTAATTAGAGCCGTATTTTTTGCATCTCTTGAAAACTGGAAGAGTTGAAAGTCATCAGAAAATAACAAAGCAGATGGGAGAGGAAGTCACCAAAAAGATAATTTCATATCAAAACATCATATTAATTTAGGAATCAGTGAAGTTTAAAAAGTGACATCAGGCATGAGTAATGGGGTAGAATCTGGCCCCAGATAGGAAATCTAGTGTTCAGAAAGTGAAGCATAAAGAGGACATGGCAGTGGCTAAGGGAGACAGCAGAAACTTTCACTGGTTTTAGAATATTAGAATTAAATGACCTCCAACTCAGTCACCCATTCTAAGACTACAATTCAATATATATATGTATATATATATATGTGTATACACACTGTGCATACATATAGATGCATTTAGAGATGTGCATATGACAGTAAATTGCATTCTTTGCTGTATCCAATAATATCCATTCCTGTACCAGTGTCTAATTTTTGCATCCTTCTGCCTTTTAGTTTTTATATATTTTTTTTTTTTTGAGTCAGGGTTTCATGTAGTAAAACACTTAGGCTGGCCTCTCGGTGGAGGATGACCTCGAACTTGTGATCCTTTTGTGCCTACATCCTGAGTGTTGAGATTGTAAGCCATCACACTTGGTTTATACAGTGCTGGGGATGGAACTCAGGTCTCTGTGCATGCCAATCAAGCACTCTCCCAGCTGAGCAACATCTCCAGCCCTAATTCAGTGATTTTTAGTACATTCAGAGGGTTTTATATTTGTCACTACAATCACTCTCATTTTTCTTGTTATTTCTGGGTTAGAAACTGTTACTGGACTAAGGGTCATAGCCTGTATGTGCCCCAGTAAGCCAGGTTTAGCAGCCCATCTCTGAAGAGCCAAAATAACAGTGAAACGCAGAGAAAGCTTTATTCAATGTGGCCATGTTGGGAAGAGGGACCAAAAGATCCAGCAACTCCCCAGGTTCATCTTTTGGGGAGTGGGGTCCTGACAAGAAGTTAGGATTTCAGTAGAGGGCCAGAGGCATACATAGCTAAACAGTGTGGTCAAGGTGTGGTCACACCCATTCTTGTTTTTGCAAGGTGGTCTGACAAGTCACAATTCTCTTTCTGGGAGAAAAGTTTCCCTTCAGCTGGTACAGGCTTTAGGCTTTCTCTTCCAGCATGAAATTCCTGGTATAATTCCTATTTCTTGGGGACAAAAAACTCTTTCACTAGTCTAATAGCCAAGTGAAGGACACAAGCATCTTTTCAGACTTTCTTCATCCCAGCCAGGCTGTTTACAAAACCATTTTCTCTTTTTTAGGATAAAGGTGTTTGTGCAATTTTGGGGGCGTTCCTTGGTGGTCAGTAGGTGATACAGGGGAAATCAGGGTCCCTTCTTGGGGTTCTTAGTCTCATTAATAAAGGGATTAAAGAAAGGACTCAAATGGAAGCTCAGGGACAATTTTATTAGTTTAAAAGAAAACTCCAGGGCAGGTGAGCTGTAAATCTCAGCAGCTGCTTGGAGGAGGAGAGAAGGAGAAAACGAGACAAGGCCACGCTGCCTGAGCGGGCAAGAAGGGCTGCCACATGGGGGACAAGCAGACACCTGACAGACACGCAGCACATGATAGGAAGGAAGGCGCTTTAGTGAAAGAGTGGACCCCCAGAGCGTTAGGGAAGCATGCTTAGAAAAGAGATGAAAGAAGAAACAGAAAACTTAATGCTTTTCTGATTAATTAGGAAAGAAGGCCGACTTAGAACTACACATCCTACCTGCAGCTCTCGAGGAGATTGTGCTGGGGGCTGTAATTATGGGAAGGAAACACACATTGTCTCATTAAGGAGATGATTATTCTGCCTCTCTCTTCAGCTCGGCTTAAGGTGGACCTGACTTCTTAGGGGTGGTCCCTTGGCCAAGTGATTGACGCGCCTAACGCACTAGTTGGTTCTCCAACCAGCCAGAGATTCTATTCTCTTGACCAGAAACTTTTCCCTTAGTAGGCCTTTACTGCTGCTGTGTTAAAGGTAAGTGAGACAGTAACACCATGAAGATGGTATCAAGGATGCTGAGGTGACTCAGTGGAAATGTGTTAATAGACCTTCCGGCAGCTGCTCCACAGAAACCCAGAAGGAGAAAGAAGGGGGCGGTTGGAGGCGTACTGAGACTGGTTAACAGCCAGGTGCTGTAGTCTGGCTTCAGATTCTGGTATCCCTATTTTACCTAATGGCTGCTTGACCTCAGGAAAGTGACTTAAACTCTCTGAGCTTCAGTTTATTCATCTTTAAGATAACAGTATCCTACTTCTTAGGGTTACGAAGAATAAGTAAGATACAAGGGGCCCATTATATGGCTACTGAATTAAAATTAGCTTGCTGTTTTTATAATGTTTATTGAGTGACAATTAAATGGCATTTCATAAACCAGATACAAACGACTACATACAATAAAGGAAAAAAATAGTGATAGAAGATTGGTGTCTGCTAGAGGCCAGGGATTAAGGATAGGAAATTGATAGTAAAGGGTCACAGGGAACTTTTTGGATTCTCTATATGATTGTATTTTGTAAACATGTGTCATTAATTACACCCTTGGGGGAATTTTATTATTTTAAAAAATAAAACCGACCCTCAACCGTAAAATATATAACTTTTAATTTTCCAGTTGGATTGCTCAATTATGCTACAGGTTAGAAGCAGGAATCAATTTCTCAACACAGTCAACAGATTCTTGTCGAGCGCCTTCTGTGTGCAGGGGCTCTCTAGGTGCAGGGGATAGGACAGCACCTCTGTCCTCGTTTGTGATTCAAGCACAAATTGTACACTTATATTTAGAATGACGAAAGAGTTGCAGTAGAGATGCTGTAGCGAGAATAATGTGGACGAGGGTAGGGCATGTACAGGGCTCTGCCCTGTAAAAACCTCTGTCCTGAAGTGGTTGCTTTTAAAACATACTTAGGAAACAGTTCCTGTATCTGAAGATGCTCTCCACACTGCAACCAAGCACGTGATGTGTCAGATGCCTCTAGGTGACCAGTGACCTGGGACTGTCCTCTGGCTATACCTGCCAGACACACTGTCCTCCGGGCGAAGGAAACACTTTGCTCCAGACCAAGAACCAGGTGGACCGCTGGCCCCTGGGGGAACCCAGCTATGACCTTGGGATGTCAGCTCCGCACTTGTGTCCGGCGTGTGCCGACCCTCTGCCGAGGCCGGTACCCTTGGGGTTCTTTCCCGGAGAACCCGCCGAGTGACTCCGCCCCCCGGGCTGAGGGTGGAGCGAGGCTGGGGAACCCGGGTCAGTCTCCCCTTCGGTAGGGGCCGCGTGCGGGGGCGGGGCTAGCCCGCGGGGTGGAGTCGGGGGCGGGCCCAGGGCGGGGCGTCCGCCCGGCGTGCGCTCCGGCAATGGATGCTCCGCGAGTCCCGCGGCGCCGGGGGCGGGGACAGCCTGGTCCGGCCGTGCGGGGCCCGCCCCCTTCCTCCTTCCCCCGCGCTGGGGTGAACCCGGAGCCGGGAAAGAGTCGGTTCTGAGTTCCCCGGGTGTTTTTAGGCGGCGGCAGCCCAGGGAGAACATGGCGTTCGTGGGCAGCCGAGTGGAGCTGGACGCGGACGAGGTGCGAGCGGCGGGGATCCGGGCTGGTCCCCCGAGTCCGCGGGGCGTGGGAGGGATGGGGAGCCCCGCGGGACGCGACGGCCGGGCCTCGGCGGGGTGCCTCGGGTCCTGAGGATGGGCTGGGCTGCCCTTCGAGGCGGGAGCGTCCTTGCGGGCCGGGCATGCGGGACCGGGGCCGGGTCTCGGGGTTCCGGCTGTGCAGTCTCTGGACCCCGACTCTCCCCTCTGTGAAGTTCTGCGGTGTCGGCCGGGGCCGGAGTCGGGAGCCGCAGCGGGCCGGCAGGGACGCTGCCCCTCTGGTACCGGGGGCTCGGGTGCCGCGCGGTCCCGCTGGCGACCTGTTGATTGGTGCGCTGCGGTGCAGCCCCCGGCAGCTGCGGAGACGGCGCGCTGGTTCCAAGCGGAGGTGCGGGCTGGGGAGGCGGCTGCCGCTGCTGCCATTTTACCTGACTTGAATTTTACAAGTCGCGGCCTGAGAAGGCTTTGGTTGCAAATGATGCAATAGTGGATGAGCTGGAGCGGGCGAGCTTGGATTCTTGGCTGAAGATCCCGACAACTAGTAAATATGGTGTTTTAAACTGGGCCTTAAGAACCCAGGACACACCGAATGCCCCATGGCAGTCAAGAAGGCAGAACTTACTGCCTGGCTGGAACTGCAGAGCTTGCCCAGTGGTTTAATGTGTTGCAGGAACTTTTAACTCCACATAAAGGCTAATAATGAGATAGCATATTCGTTGCTACTTTAGTCTGTGACAGCTTTTATTGACAGCTTTAGGCTGCCTTTTTGGTGTGACCTGTTGCTGTTATTCTTAATATTTTACAGACCTAGATCTTTAGTGTAATCCAGGTAATAATACTTTTACAGTGCTTTGACCATATATCACTTCCTCAAAAGTTTGTATGTCTCTTTCGTATATTAAATATTTATGCTTTTGACATTGAAGGCTGTCTCAAGTATGGTCTCATTTGCTTATCCCAAGGCTGTCCCTAACTCCTCCCTGTACCTAACCACAATGCTGGGCCTGGTCGTGCCAGCCTGTTATTTCAGCACTAAGGTGACTGCCAGCAGGGGGATTGAAAATTCAAGGTTGCCCTGGACTACAACGTGAGTTCCTAGTCAGCCCCTGTTACATAGAAAGACCTTGCCCTAGCTCAGGTGTGCCGGGCGCGCCCTTAATCCCAGAACTGGGAGGCAGAGGCAGAGGCGGGGACAGGGGGCAGAGGGAAGAGACAGGTGGATTTCTTTTCTGTGAGATCAAAATCGAGACCAGCCTGGTCTACATAGGGAGTTCCAGACAGCTGGAGCTACCGGGAGACTCTGTCTCAAAAACCAAAAAAGAAAAAAGAATCGCTGTGTGCAGGGCAGGACTAGGACGCTGAACTGGGAAAAGAGGTATATCTGACATATTGAGGAAGGGAACACTCTTACGTCCCATGCCAAAAAATGAACTAAATACTGAGGTAGTAACTGGTGAAGAGGGCTCATGCTCTGTGGGAAGTTGGGTTTCAGAGCAACCAAGACAAGCCTGGCACAAAAATACCTGATGAGTGGATGTTTTTGAATGAAAAACATGACTGCAGAAAAGATGTGGCTTGATCACTTCTAAGTTTTTGTCCTGTCGTTTATTTACTTTTAGGCTTCTAGTATATGCTAGGTATTGTGTTAGTCTTAGGAGATGGACAAGTATGCACTGACTCTTCTACTGACCAAATCTACTTTTGCCCCTCAGGGTGTACATACACATTGGCATAAATTTAGCAATTTTTTTTTTTTTTTTTTTTTTTTTTTTACTGGCATTCACTCTGTGCTCAAACTTGGTAGGTGCTTTAGAAAGAGAAAGCACAGTTTTAGCTCTTTAGGACACTCAGTATGGGTAGGGAGATGTCATGTGTGGAAGAACGGGGAACAGCTTAGGGCAGGGCAAGCACTGTCAGGGGATTGTAGGTGCTATTCTTGAGTTGTAAAAAGTCCCTAATTGTAAATGGACTAATGAATTCTACCCCGAGTGAACTGTTTTTCAGTTTTACCGGGTATGTAGAACTAAAATAGCTTATTTAGCTAAGATTTTCATGCACTTAGAAGACTTTAGCATCCTAAAGTGCTCTCGGAAAGTAAAAAGGGACTGAGCAGAATAGCTGAGAAACCGTTAGGCTGGACTTAGGTAAACCTGGCTCTCAACTCCTGGCTTCATAGCCCCTCACTCATTTATGCATGTGCCTATGGGGTCATCCGTTCATTGATATGACAAACATCTGATCCTCCTAGATGGCAAGCTTGTGCTAATCTGGGGATACAGCAGTGAACAAGACAGATGAGGCCTTGTCCACGACTTGTGACCTTGACTGACAAGTCTCGGCCTCTGAGGGCTTATTGAGTGGTCCTAAAAAGTTAGGGCTGGGAGAGCTACGTGTTCAGCGTTAAAGTCAAGGTTGGTATTTTTTAGGGGGAGGACTAGTAATATGGGAATCTTTTTTTCTTCCAAAGTATACAAGGAGACCATGGTGGTAGAGAAACTCTTATAGTAGCCATGGGATGGATTTGTTTGTTAGGTTTTTTGAAACAGGGTCTCCCTGTTGACCCAGCTGGCCTGAAACTCATTATGTAGACCAGGCTGGCCTCAAACTCACAGAAATCCACCTGCCTTTGCCTCCTGCGTGCTGGGATTAAAGGTGTATACCACTATGCCCAGCTGTAATTTTTTTTTTGTAGCTATTTTTTTTGTTTTATTTTTTAGATGCTAGAAAGAGGAATGTGATTACATTTCTATTATCATGTACTTAAAAAATGAATAATTTGTATTGATAATTTGATAAATTACATTTTAAATTAAAAGTTAATA